ACAGTGAGAAGAGCACAGGACCAAGGATAGAGCCCTGAGGCACGCCAGAGGAACAGTCATTAACCATCACATTAAATAAGACTGAAGACACTGAAGGACTGTCCCTAGAATCCCACGTGTGGGGACAGAGTTCTCACCAGGACAGAATGATCCACAGGATCAAAAGCTGCTGTGAGATCTAGGACCACCAGGTTTCTTAGAGTCCAGAGACCAGACCAACGCTGGACCCTCCAGACCAGAGACCAGACTAACACTGGACCCTCCAGACCAGAGACCAGACCAACACTGGACCCTCCAGACCAGAGACCAGACTAACCCTGGACCCTCCAGACCAGAGACCAGACTAACCCTAACCTCCAGACCAGAGACAAGACCAACGCTGGACCCTCCAGACCAGAGACCAGACTAACCCTGGACCCTCCAGACCAGAGACCAGACTAACACTGGACCCTCCAGACCAGAGACCAGACCAACACTGGACCCTCCAGACCAGAGACCAGACTAACCCTGGACCCTCCAGACCAGAGACCAGACTAACCCTGGACCTTCCAGACTAGAGACCAGACTAAGCCTGGACCCTCCAGACCAGAGACCAGACTAACCCTGGACCTTCCAGACTAGAGACCAGACTAACCCTGGACCCTCCAGAGCAGAGACCAGACTAACCCTGGACCCTCCAGACTAGAGACCAGACTAACCCTGGACCCTCCAGACCAGAGACTAGTCTAAGCCTGAACCCCTCCAGACCAGGCTAACTCATCCAGACCAGAGACCATCCAGACCAGAGACCATCCAGACCAGAGACCATCCAGACCAGAGACCAGCCAGACCAGAGTCCAGACTAAGCGATGGAGATCTGGTCAGTCAAACTAAAATCAAATATATTCGGAGGTATTTATTTGTTAATTAAATAAAAGTCTTCTGTAGTCCTGCTGGTCTGCAGGACTCTGGTCCAGGATCTGACTCCACCTGGGAGGAAACTGACMGTGAGTATTTCCAGTTTTCTGATCACCTCCAGTCCTGCAGCTGCTCCTCAGTGTAACACTTGAACTGATTAAGACCTCCTCTGGGTCTCTGATGAGCCACAAAGCTTTTATCAGGTCCTGAATGAAGGCCCTGATCCCTGATCCCTGATCCTGGACCTGTTGGAGGACTAAAGATCTGCTGTTTGATCTCAGCTCTGTTTTCTTCTTACAAACCTTTAAAACCTTTTGTATTTTAGTTTTTATCCAAACAAAAGACGTTTCAATGAGATGTGAGCTCCTTCAAAATAAAAGCCCGTACCTGGACTCTGGCCTCGGTGAGGTTGACCCGGCGGGCCAGGTCCTCCCTGACGAAGGCGTCGGGGTAGTGTGTCCTCTCAAAGACCCGCTCCAAAGCCTGCAGCTGGCTGCTGTTGAAGGTGGTCCGGTTCCTGCGCTGCTTCCTCTTTTTCTTCTCCTCCGTGTTCATCTGCTCATCTGGAACAAACAAACAAACAAACAAACAAATAAATAAATAAATAAACATCAGGATCAAAGAAAACATCATGTTTGAAGAACAAAAACACAGTAAAGATCACGTTTCACACTCTAAACAAAATAATGAAACATTTTAGCTCCGACAGTCAAACCTGCAGGATTTATTTACTGTAAACAATTTATTTATTGTTAAAATAACTGTAAACGTTGGTGACAGTTTACTAAACCAGTTTTAATCAACACGGTTTCAAACTAAATGACTGGTTTCAGTTCAGTTAGATTTACAGTAAAGTTTACAGTAAAGTTTACAGTAAAGTTTACAGTAAAGTTTACAGT